GAGGGGGGGGGGAAGGCTGTTTTCTCTCTCCCCAGGCTCCTATAAAGTCTCTGGAGCCTGGGGAAGGCGAAAAAAGCATGCAAAAAATGGGGGGGGGAAGCGCCTGTCATGCATGCATGCGCTCTGGGGGTCGCGCATTGGATTATGGGTGCAGCACGCCTGCGCACGACCCCCCCGCGCTCCCCCAGTTTTGGCACGCAGCCAAAAAAGGTTCGTCATCACTGCTCTAGGGTTTGCAATCTGGTTTACAACTCGAATGCAAAGAAAAAGGGGGATGGGGAAATCTGAACTTACTAAACAAGGGCAAAGGTAAACAGAAAAAAAAATCAGTGGCATTGTTAAATGTTAAATAAAAGAGAGAAAGAACCACTGATGGACTTCATTCTTGTTTTGAAAAAAAACATAGGAGAGGGAAGATACCCATTTTTGGAAGAGAGCAAAAATGTACAGGGGCAGTCAAATGAACCGTAGCACCAAATAAAACAAAAGTAGGCAAAAGACAAGGTTTTTTTGATATTTTTGTTCAGTTGGCTGAACATTCGTCATGATATTTATTCTTTTACAATAAATGTTTTTGTTAAAATGAAAGAAAAGCAGGCAGTAATAGAATACAGCACAGTAACAGGCAGCTCTTCTGCTAGAGGAATTGTTTTGGAGGAATTGGTTTGCGGGATCTAGCTGCTTTTTATAAAAGAAGAGGATTGAAGGAATGATGACCTGGAAAAAACAGGAGGTCTGATAAGCGAGCTGCAGCTCATGGCAGCTTAAATCGTTGATTCTTTGCCCTGCAGATGAAGAGGGTTCTCTTCCTACATCCTCCGATAAGGGAAAGAAGATTCAGATCTGCAGAAATCTCCTTTGATTTGATAAAGGTCACTTAGACTAGACTTCTAATGTTTTGGATGGCATGATGTCTTTAGGTCTTGCTCTGCTTGTTTACATATCAGGTTTTTTAAAAATATTTTTATCTCTGCTCCATTCACACACTTTACTGCTGAACTTGACCCATTTTCCTTCAAGTGTGCCCTACTTTTTTTTTTTTTGCAGAACCAGAGGCATGTCAAATTATTATTAGTAGATCTGCCCTCTTTTTATCAAATGAAAAGAGACAAGCTGGACTTGAGTACTTTAAGGGTAAAGAGACTGTTCTCTGCAGGCAGGCGGGAGTTTTCCTCTATTCTAAGTAATGGTTGCAAGGTTGAAGGACTATGGAGTATGGCCGGAGGACAGGAGGAGATTGTGTATCTGTCAGACTTAATACAGTAGAGTACATACAAGAGGGAAATTCATTTTGTTATAAGGGGGCAGGGAAGAGCCAGGCTGCAGCTGCTGGTAAAGTGATACAGAAGAGCCGGCCCTGTTGTCATGAGGAGAACCTGCAGTGTGTATTTTCCTTGTGTCTATGCTTGCAAGTAGTGCTTTGGGGCTTGGATTGTAGGAAAAGGACAAAGTAAAACTCGGATTAATTCTCTATGTATGTATTTCATATGGCTAAGGTGTTAGTTGGGTGCTGGAGAGGCCAGTCTCCATCATGGAAAGTCACCGGATCATCTATCTTGTGTTGTAATGGGAAAAGGAAGTGCTAGCTATGCAGTCTTGCACTGCTGAATGATGAGGATGAGGGTGATAGTGATGAGGATGAGGATGTGATTGCAAACAGTAAAGTTAGCTTTTAGCCAATGTAAGTCCTCTTAGTCTGAATAGACTCACTTATATGAACTCAAATAATTCTAAATGAAATAGAAGCAAAATTTTGAAATGTTTCAGTGCCCCGTGAAACATGAATACTGCTTACTAGTATTGGTAAGAAATATTTGTTGAGCCATAAACTTAGGCCTAGATGTGTATCACTCATCCCTGATAGTTTGCAAGTTAGTAGTGGTGCCACTTACCTTGCTGAAAATCAGGTTGTGTAATCCAATTTATTCTTAAAGTCACTGTTTAACATGGTAAAGTGAGGGAGTTATTCTTTATTTACTTACTCATTCCAAAATTGCTCTTAACAAGCAGCCAAAACAAGCATATCCAAACCTGTTTGATAGGAGTCTGGTAATACCGGATGCCTGAAAAGGCAAGGCTGCTTCAGATGATTTTAAGGAAATATTTCTTCCAAGGTTTCTCAATTGGGGTCCCCCCTGTTCCTGCTTGAGCACATCATTTTCTACTAGTGTACCATGTTGTGTGGTAGTGGTAGAAACCAGGAATTCAGTTCTTATAAGCAATCCTTTTGCTAATCGCAACTACTCTAAGCAATCTGTTGTCCTACCTCTTGCACAGTTGTATTGTTGTCTTCCCTTAGCTGGTGAAACAAGTTAAGAGATTAAAAATGCATATTTTGTCAACTCAGGTTTCTGCAAATGCACATACCAATCATTGCAATGTAAATTTATTTCAAATTAGCATGTGGATTGCACGTATGGTTGCACTTCTTATAATAACCTGTGTAATAGAGCAAAGCGCCCCTGCATTTATTTGGTGTTACCTCAGAGAAGTCATTAAATTAGCATTCATAACAAGGGGAGTCTGCATACTGACAGTTAAATCCAACTTTTTCTATTTGAATTATGATAATCCATAGTATTTAATTTCATGGCTTCAGTTGCATTAGAAATAGGAGTGTGCCAATTTAGGAGCCCGATTGCCTTCAGAAAGAAATCCTGAGGATGCCAGGTGTCTGAGATTAGAGAACCTTGCCAGTAGGTATCATGATACATGGCATTTGCAATTTATATAGGTAGTCCTCAACTTACAACCATTCATTTGATGACCAGTTGGAGTTACACTAGGACTGAAAAAAGTGACTTATGATCAATTTTCACACTTAACAACCGTTGCAGCATTCCCCATGGTCACATGATCAAAATTTGGACGCTTGGCAACTGACATGTATTTATGGCATCTATGATCCCAAGGTCATGTCATCACCATTTATAACCTTCCCAGTGACTTCCGTCAAGCAAAGTCAATGGGGAAGGCACATTTGCTTGATGATCACATGAATGGATTATCACTTAACATATGCAGTGATTTGCTTAATAAAATGAGAAAAACAGAATTGCCTTACTTAGGCATTTTTTGGAAATTTTTGGGCTCAATTGCGATCATAAGTTGATCTGTACTATTAATGTATTCAAGGTGGCTGGCTCCCAAATAAGTTTGAAATAAGTGAGGCTTACTTTTGACTGGACATGTGTAAAATTGAGCAGTTAGAGTATTCCAATACCAATGTGATTAATACAGCTTTTATAATAGTAAATTTGTATTTGCTGTACATATGAATATGGTAGATAGAGCAGCTTTTTCAGAAGGAGAACACCATGACAAAATTTTGTCTCATGTATTGGGTACCAAAATACTTTTTAAAAAAAGACAATAAATGACATATTGAGATTACAGAATTCTCATTCTGGCAGCTCACAAGATTTCAGTGTTCTTTTTCTGAAAGTTTGTTTCTCATGTGATTTCATGTTTGAATGCTGAAGTCTTGCAAGATTTTGTGATATCATAATATTTTAACTATACAAACACATGCAGGAGAAATGCAAATTCTCCTTTCAGATTTTCTGAAGTTTTGAATATTTTTGTTACTGAATATTGTCAAAGCTTCATTTGATTGATGCTGATTTATAAAGAGAGGCTGAGTAAATGAATGACATGGAAATTTCTTTCACAAGCACAGTATCACTATGCAATGGGCCACTGGTATTAATTGCCCCTTTAATATAATCATTTCAACCCAATAATCAAAGCTAGCTACATTAAACAATATAGGTTGCTTTGGGCCATTCACTGTAGAAATCTCACAAACTTCGTTCCTGTTTGGGGGGAGGGGGGAGGGAGGGAGAGGGAGAGAGAATATCACACACACCAAACAAAAAAAACATGTAATAGCCTGGAGGAATGTTCTGTGGATAGGTAGATCAAATGAGTAACTTTTGAATCTACTTGAGTGTTATGTCTGGCAGAAACCAAGCACTATATTTTACAATAAGAGCTTTATATCAAGTCAAGCAGGGAGATATTTGACAATGCAATGTGGTAAGGCTGCTTGCTTTCTCCTTAACACCTCCTTAGTTCACGTGTTTTCGGGTGCAAGTATGGCAAGCCTTGAGAAAGCCATGCCTTCTTTAACAAGCTGCTGACAAATAGAATCAATGTGTAACTAGAGAAGAAGCTTCCCTTCATTGTAGCCAAATAGCTGCACATCTCTAGCAAGTATCCTGCAAAGCTGACAACATTCAATGGGAAAGACAGGCACCGTTCAGTAAATCCCAAAGAGGGCAAAGATACGCACACCCACACACCCACACACACCCTCCGTAGATGCTATCTGGGAGTGTTGTGAATGATGTAACATTCATGCCAGTGTATAGCTTGCCCTGCAGCAAGAGGAGGTTTCAGAATAGCATTCTGACATTCCGGATTATGGAACGTCTCCCACAGTATCAGTTAAGCCATATTCTAAATATGATGTTTGTTTTAGTATTTAGAAACCTTCATCCAGTATTGATTTCCCTTAAGATTATCCTAAACCTTGCTGTTCTATATCTTGGTTATGCATTTCTCTCCCCTCCCCCCCTCCCGTAGCCCCCTTGATATAGTACCTGGTTTGGATGCATAGATCCTGTAACAAAGTGTCTTCTCTATTTAAATATGATCCCTGATAGTCCATTTTGGATTCATGTTTTTGTTACTGAAAAATGGGGTGATGTGTGTGCGTACCTGTGCGTGCATGCATTTTCTGAACACTTGACATTTTATTACACTAAAGCATCACATTTTAATTTTAAGACAGACTTCAGTACTACATAAGATACCAAAGCACACAAGTTTTAAGTCCCAATTTTTAGAACCTTAATTAGTTGTCATAACGGAAAAAGAACTGAAGGAAAATTCATTCCTTCTAAATGGAAATGTCATATATTTAATTTGGGATTTTGTGAAATGTAAATTTTTGCTTAATATTTGCCAATAACTTTTGCTCTTTAAAATTTCAGGATGGACTGCTGATTTGGAAAGTACTACAAACCTGGTCCTACAGCCTGGCTGGTCTGCTTTCTGCTTTATTTATCTATTACTAGTTTTTTGAATTGAACTTTTAATAACCTGCCAGCTGCTCTTTAGACACACATGGTGCATTGTTGTCATTCCCAGAATCACATCTTTGAAATCCAGGACCTTGGTAACCTTCAAACAAAGAGGCGACCTCAAGGATAATTTCTACAGGAGGACTTTTCAAACCTGCCGCCCTCTAGTTTGTCTCCGCCTTCTTTCTAGAACATTATGGAACCCACAATGGAGTCCTGCTTGATGCAGGTCCTGCAGAAAGATGTTGGGAAACGACTTCAAGTTGGCCAAGAATTGATAGATTATTTCTCAGATAAACAGAAATCTGCTGACCTTGAACACGATCAGACCATGCTGGACAAAATGGTTGATGGCCTTGCTACCTCATGGGTAAATTCCAGCAATTATAAGGTAAGCTTGATTTGCAGAGACAGGAGCGTGAAGGGGGAGACCTTGTGTATTTGCACAGGTTCTTCAGTCAGTTTTGGAACAATGAGTTCACATTGCAAATCCCTGGAGGCCAAACACATTTCTTACTGATCCACCGTAAGCCTTCATTTGTGGTATTTCCTCCCCGTCCCCTTTGTTCTTAGGAACTCTCACACCAACTTGTAGGCATAGGCACTTTCCAATCAAAATAAAAAAGGAACCATGTAATTGAATTTGACAAGTTATTAGTTATCTTTGCTGGGTGCTTGGGATGGTGATCCAAGCTAAACAGATAAAATATAGCGTTTGTATGTGTGTCCCTGTTCAGGACTGGGGGCCCAGGTTCAACTTCTTACAAAGTCATGGAGTCTAATTGGCTGACTTTAATCAATATTGTCACAGGATTGTTGTGGTAGGAACAGTTGGTGAGAGAAACACATTTCATGCTGGCACCTAGAAGAAATTTGGTTATAAATCTAATGAATTAAGTATAACATCAAACTAGTACTTTCCTCCCCCCCCCCAAGAGACTGCCTGTATAAAAGAAGTATGTATTTAAGATTAGAATGTTATATTTTAAAAGACATTGGGCTGCTCTTCAAAAGTTGATCTTGTGTTGTCACATCCTATGATTTTTTTTAAGTGATTATGCTGTACATTTTCCTTCTTTCTAACTTCATTGGTTGCTACAAATAATACTCTAAATATGGTAATGCCGGGCAATCAATTAAGTCCTATTGCTGGTTACAGGAGGAAAAACTGTAGAGTCAAGGTGGCGCAGTGGTTAAAAGCAGCACTGCAGGCTACTGCTAGATCAGCAGGTCAGCGGTTCAAAT